TATATATATTGACCTCCTTACAAAACTACCTTGATATAGGTGTCGAAATTATTAAGAGACACTAATTCCTCTAAAAGCTGAGAATTCCTCAGGACCACACCTTACAGGCCATGAGCAGTGAGAGCACATTTCCTTGAAACGAAAAATTCTGATTAACCTGTCACTGACCCTGCCTGGCCACAGTGCCTAAGCCAGCTGTGGCAAGAAAAGCCTGCTTGCAAAAGTGCCTTGAGCCAGAAATTTAGTAGAAATTTACCCATCCAGGGAAGTTTTGTAATTAGATGACAGGGAACTTAAAGGGAGGAATTTACCACCCTATATATTACTGCATGTTTATATATCAGGACTTAGCAAAATGGTCAGTTATTTTGGTTAGTCTGTTTGTCAATATGAAATACAGTGCAGGACATGTTGGGAACATCTGCCCTACATATAATGTGTGGATCAGACTAAAAAAAGTCAATGTATCCATGTTTTGGATGTGTGTGCATGATGGCTGAATGACAAGTTTATAATTTTTTTCAGGGTCAGAAAGCATGGCACCTGCTGGAGAAATTCCACAAAGTGCTTCCCAAGGCGCTGATGCTAGAGAACCTGGGCAAAGCTGAGCTGGACAACTTCACAGCTGAAGTTGAAGTTCTGATGTCAGCAGTGCTTCAACACAATGATAACATCAATGGTAAGATCGACAACATTCAAATCGACGAGGAAACATATCACAACAGGTTTCCTGCAGAGGTGGAGGTGAGGGACGACGTGGAGCTGTCGCGTAAAGTTTCCAACATTATATGGAGTGAGATCCCCCGGAGTCTTGGCCTGGGAGACCCAGTGATTGTCACGGAGGTTTACCTCAGTGCATCTGGGTTTCACACTGAGGGCCAAGCATTCCAGGTGAAGGAGTGCACTGGGCACTACATCACTATAGAGCCCATTGTCAAAGGCGATGATGACTTTGTCATTAAACCTGATGTTGTTGTAAACCTAGAGTCCTTGCTAGAGGTTGTGACAGTTAGGAGGGAATTACTTCAAGATGAGATGTGCCTTGAAAGTGTGGAATGCCACGAGCATTCTTATGGTGGTAGCAAAGTACTCATGGTATCATGCTTGCAATGTGCACTTATTGTAAGCAAAGAAGTTTCTGTTAAGAACAAGGATGAGGTTGACATCACATGGCTAAGCGAAACAGATAGGTGTCTGATAGAAATTCCAAAAGATGGATATTGTATGGCTCATGCATGTGTAATAGCCCTCAGCTCTGTCCATGATGTGCACTACTTAGGAGGTTACTTGCAGTTGATAGATGATGCCATTAAGGAGCTAACAGAGTGTCCTAGTTTTTACTGGTAGGAAACTTCAAAGAAGATCTAGCGGCATATAGAATGCATGGAGACTTTTCCTCACCAATCCTGGATTGTCTCTTCCATGCTATTGCAAATGTCACTGGTATTACTATTCATATTCTCCAACATAAACAGAAAACCCTGGTAGTACCCCCGACAAAAGGCAACTGTAATGATAGAACCATTGAATTACCATACGATAGATTGCACCATCACTATAATGTAGTCACAAGCAGAACTATTCGGGAAAGGTGGAGCACCTTCCAGCAAAATTTGAAGGAAGCAGAAACTGCTTCTGTCAATGGAGTGTTGGAGGTGTCATTGTTTCTGCTAAACGATGCACTAGAGCTATATCCGAATGCCCTTTTTGTTTATGACATGATCAAATGCTGTGAGAGGCAAATCAACAGTCACAGAGTCAAAGATAAAAACCCCATGGTAGAAATTCAGAACCTGTTAGAAACAATCAGTGCGATAGAATTGTATCATAAGCTTGAGTGCTTCAGTCTAAAACATCTAAAAGCTGTATGTAACCAGTATTCCTTAAGTTTGGTGAACTGTATAGAAAAAAGGGATGTTTTAGAAGTATTAATTAATAACCAAGAGAAATTCAAACAATGCCATGGTGATCATCTGCAATCAAACTTAACAGAAACTAATATGCCAGAGACAGAAATAAAGGAAGAAAAAAACAAAAGAGATGAATTTAACATTTCAGATTCTGATACAGATGTTCTGATACATTCCGAAAGTTTCAGAAATGACGTTGACGATTATCAGAAGTTTGGACGAAGGGACAGGTCAAAAGTTTTTGTTCTTTCTGAAAACTCTTGTGATTCTGATGCAAACATAGATTGGTGCAGTGATAGTTTCAACAGTTCATATGGATCAAGATTAAGAAATGAAGAAGACAAACCTGTGCTGAAAGAGCCCATTGTAGAAATTTGTTTAAAACTAAAAACACACACTGCAAAAGAGTTGGTTCAGGACCTGAATCAATACAGTTTAAAAGATCTGAAAGCAGTGTGTAAACAGCATTCCCTTAGTCTTGTTCAATGTATAGAAAAACAGGATGTTTTACAAGTATTAGTTCAAAACCGAGGAAAATTCAAGAACTTTTCACAAACAAGTAAATCATCTGTGCACAGTTCCTCCTCAGATTTTGATGGTAACAGTTACAAGGAAACTATGAATACAACAAATTCCAGTGAAGAACATGACTTTGACTTTGAAGAACATGTCTACCCAACAGTGAATCTAGAATCTTCAACAGAAAGTGATATATCAATAGGTACCAAACGAAAGAGGAAAGGAAAATGTTCCAATACCAATGCTTATGGAAATTCAACCCCCCAAGATGGAGAAGACATGACTGGTGATTTCAGATTCAGAAGTGGAGATGGACACAAAAATGGAAAATGCAAGTTACCTAAAACAGCCAGATTGCTCTCACCACGGCCCCTCCAGTGCAGGATGACATTGTATTCCAAGATGTTGATGAATTGCCTCATGACCTTAATGGGACATGTATATACAAAATTCCATTTCATGCCGATCCATCCATTAAGAAATATAAAACACCTCATGATGGCAGGAATTGGGGACGATCATCAACTGCACCAACAAAAAGCTGCAAAATGAGAAGAATAATGTCCTGCAAAGGGTCCTATATTTGTAAAAATATCCAATGCCATTACAAACTTCAATTTGGCAGCGAAAACGGAGTGCTTTTTAAACAATGTATTGATGGCGGTGCCACTTTTAGAATTTGTGGAGAAAAGGGACTTTTTACACCATGTGATGCCCACAAAATTGTTGAATATTTTCCAGAAAAGAATTATATTATTGTTAAGCATTCTGGTATACATTCTTGTATTCCTAAAGTGACCAAACAAAGGCATCTCCCAAAGAAGACCAAAGAATTTTTGAAAAATCCCAAATGCGGGCCGAGAGCAGCTCAGAGACAAACTATAGTTGATGCAATCAAAAATGGCTCTAAGGAGGAAATTGAAAACATTGTGGATGATGTACTGGACTATGAAATGTTGAAGCGAGAAAAGAAAAAGTGTGCACGGGAGTCACATCCACTAGGACATAGTTTTGATGCTGTAGCTGCTTTAAAAGCAAAACTTGATAAGCTTGATTCATTTTACGTTTTCAAAGCCAACGATGGCCAAGTAAATGCGTCAATAAGTTATGTTCTTAAAACATCCGGTGTTCTGTGTAAAATGGCCATTAGTGTGGACCTGAACGGTCCATTTTCACCTCTGCAACAAGAATATGTATGTTTTGATTAAAAACATGGTCGCTGCAGAGGATACATCTGCCTTGGAATACATGTGTACAGTGAATTGCTTAGAAAAATTGTTAAGCTGGCAACATTAGATATTGAAGGAGAAGAAGATACAGAAGCCGTTGTTCTCCTATGGACACTGTTTAATGAAGCCTTACAATCCATTACCCAAAACAAGGCCTATCTTTTTAATCCTATTGGATGGATGTGTGATGAAGGGGGGGCAAATTGGGTCGCACTTGAAAAAGTCTTTGGAAATACAGGTGCTAGAGTGTCCTGTACATTCCATTATATGCAGTCTGTGCATCTTCATGCCAGGAGGCTGGGCAGTGAAGATGCAGAGAAATTCATAAAAAGAGCAAAAGAATACCGTAGGTTGCAAAATGTCATTAGCAGAAGCCAAAGACGGGTTGAGGTTCTAAAAAAATGGCTAGAATGGTGGCATGAACGTCGGTTTCATGTATGTACAGCATTTCGACCAAAACTTAATGTTCCAAACATGAACTTTTCAGAATCATATCATTCCCGTTACAAAAGATCCGGCTCCTGTAATCTGTCACTAGTTGATGCTGCCTATGACGATGTGGCAGATATTATGATAACAGAGCGTGAACTCAAGCAGTTGGAAGGGGGAAGTTTCCGGGGGGGGGTACTGGTCCAGATACCAAAACAAGAGAGGGCAGGGAACATGCAGACCAACAAAACAAAGCCAGGGCATATGGTGAGACATTATTTAATATTCATGAGAATGATGAGTTAAATGAGGAATCTGAACTTCACGACACTGTTGTCCCCCATGAAAGAAGTTCTCACCGACCAGATAAAAAAAGGAAAAAGATATCATGGAGGCTCAGACCCAAACTATAAGTATTAAAAAAATGTAATGAGCGAGGAACAATTGTGTCCACAGATTCAGATGAAAAATCTGACAATTTGAATCAGACCAATTCTGGCAAAGTTAAAGAAAAACGGCCTTACAAGTACAGACAATGTCCTAGCAAAATGCACAAAGAAACAGTTCAACGGGCAAAAAGAGATGTAAACAACATAACGATTAGCAATCTTAATGTTGATTTATCAGAACTTACATACAAAATTTTTAATAAATTAACCAGAGGTGTGTATAATACTGTAATCAGCCGAACACCGAACTGCTCCTGTCCATATTTCAAACAACATAATGGTAAACAACTTTGCAAACATATAGTTTGGCTGTATATGCATGTTTTTGAACTAAATACAGATGATCCCATTGGCTGGCAAATAGGTCTAACAAAAAGTGAACTTGAAAAGCTGTTGAGACATGTTAATAAACAGTCGGAAACAAATTGTCAACAATCTGAGAGTGCAAGCAGGGGGGAGGGGGAAAGAAGCAGCAAAACTCAGCGAGTCCAGCTTGAACCTATTGAGCAGGAGGCTCTCTTTGTTACTTACAAGAAAAACAGACCTTATAGTACACCTGATAAGTGGATAGCTGGGCGTTTAGAAAAATACAGGAAAGCTATATGTGCAGGTTGCCGAAAGTCTTCAATAATAAAACCTATGCTTTTTATTTCTGTGACTGGTCTATGGATCACCCCTCAACACAATGTTGAGGTGAGCTAGTCTAGCCTTGTAGTCAAGTTCACAAGCATTGGCATTTGCACCTATAATGAACTTGGTTGCCCGCCTCTGCACGCCCTCCAACAAGGACATCAGATTGCGAGACAGAGGTGACCATATTTGACAACAATATTCAAGTAAAGATCTAGCCAATGATACATACAAGGATTTGCGCACCACAAGGCTGGACTCATAACCAACAGTGCGTCTGATGAATCCAACCATTGAATTGGCTCTAGCAACTGTTTTCACAATGTGACTGTTCCAAAGCAGATCAGTTTGGGCCAAAACCCCTAAGTCATTCATATCTTTGACTGTAGATAGAACGATGTCTGACATATGATAGGTAAAAATTATTGGGCTCTTGGAACGTGTCAGACGGAGAACCTTGCACTTCGATGGATGGAAAGACATCCCCCACCGAAGGCTCCACTCGTACATAGAGAAAATATCATTCTGCAATTTTTTACAATCTACAGCGTTACAAATCTCTCTGTAGCATTTAGAATCATCTGCAAACAGTGCTACAGTGGAGTTTGCTGCAGTGATGGGTAGATCATTAATATACAATAGGAACAGAAGTGGCCCCAAAATAGACCCCTGAGGAACACCAGAGGTTACTGGTCGCCACTCAGAGTTGCTACCCTCTACCACAACCCTCTACCTGTTACCTCTTTCATATAGGAGAGAGATCGCTGACATCATGTTGTATGTTAAGTCCACGGCTAATGTGTACGATTTAGACATGCATAATTATGTTTCATTTTCATCACGTCCAACAAGAGGTAGTAGGTCCCATATGCTAATGCCAGTTCGCTGCAAAACATCAACATTCGCTACTTCCTACATCCCTCGCTTGGTGGCTGAGTGGAACAGACTGGAAGTCAGAGTCCGGGACATGGGGGCTGTCGCTTCGGGGCAGTCCGAGCTTTTAACATTCAAACGGGGTCTTGTCAAATCGCTGACCAAGAGATTTAATGATCATTTTGTTACTGACAATCTCTGCACGTGGACGTCTGCTTGTCGGTGTGCCACATGTCTGGCAATAAGGCCACGGTAGACATGGGGCACTTCCACGGCCGGATGTACATGTGCAGAGATCTAGCTATTATGAAATTGTGCAATTATATATATTGTTATTATTGTCTTCTTACGATGTTGTGCAATATGTTTAATTAGTTTTAACTATGATTGATTGTAATGTCATTTATGTCTTTGGGGAGGGAGCCTGTAAAGGTGGTCTCCACCTGTTTCTCCCTTCCCTTCCACTTGTGGTAAAGCTTGAATAAATAAATAAATAAATAAATAAAATGTTGTTCAAAGAGAATTTTTCTTTCGTGCAAAACTCAATTGTATTTCTGAAAAGCCCTATATGAGTGATTTGACTTGCCCGCCATTAGAAGTGCACTGTTCTGGTCCTCCTTGTAACCTTTACCCTGGAGATGTGGACAAGTTGAAGGACAGAGGCATTCCCATGGCATGAGTTCTTTTAAAAACACAAATTTGGACTACTTTTCTTCCTGTTTTATTAAAGTGAGCTAAATCCAAGTTGACATATTGTTTTCTTTAAAATCGAAACTGTTCATTTCATATCAGGTCAACATATGACATTTTTTCTATGGAATAGTTTGGTGATAGACTTAAGAAATTTGTAAGAACTCCTTAAGAACTTTGTATATAACTAGTACATATATGTTCATACATGTATATGTTTATGGAAAATGAAAACATATGTATCAGTGTTTAATGTACTGTGTTGTGACTTCTCCTTACAAGAACTTAGTATCTATATGTGTCAGTTTTCAATGCACTGTATTGTAGTTGCAAGTTTATCAACTGTGAGCAACCAGTAAGTAGTAACTAACATTAGCAATTCTTTCTTTGAACAATTTCTTACATACTTTTGCTGATGTCAACAATTGATTAGTTTTATGACCCCAACTTCTCTGCCGTAGTACAGTATTAGTTTTTGTGGAGAAATTATATTCAACTGTTAAAACAAAACATTTGTTTGCACAATATCCAATGATTATCCATAGTAAGTTATTTCTTTGTTTCGCTAGCAATTATATCACATTTATTATATCAAGTTTTAACATTTGCTACTTGTAAAGCAGATGTTAGAAACATACTTTTGTGTGCTGTGCAGGTTTTATATACTACCGGTATAGTACTATCTGGCAGCTGATTTCAGTAGAGACAACTTGCCTCACGCGCAAATTGTCAAGTATATGGTAATGAATTGAAAACAATGCTTGATTCAATATTGTACTTACGAGAACATAATTTCTACACCAATAAAGTTTCTTCCTGTACTACTGCACGTCTCTGGTGACTGTGTAAGCATTGTGATGAATAACTAGTGCTAACGTGTGGTACTTAAATGTACTCTCCAACTTCCAAGCAGAGGTTGTTGGAGGAAATTGACCTTTTTTATCATATGCACAATCACAACAGCGACATACAACATATTACACATCACACAAATTTACAATTATTTCTTCTTTACACCTTCGCATACTTCACAATCATTGAACCTGAATAAAAATTATTACTTAATTAATATATTACATTAGTATGCTTTAACCTGAGTTTTACATTGATTTCGTCTATGTTGCAATTGTTTTGGCACTGATTTGAAACTGTCCTTTGTTCCTAAATGCTGTAAATCCACTGGTAGGTTATTCCATGTAGAAATACTTCTGTATCTGAAGCTTATTTTCTTTGCATTCGTTTTTGGTTTTTCCAGAGCTAAAGTTAATCTAGTAGCGTAACGAGTTCTATGACTGTGGTGGTTGGAGACATAGGAAAGGTTGAATAGTACTTAAATTGATACAATAGAAATTGAGGGGTATTTGGTTGAAATATTATACATCTTTACTGTAACACATTATAGGAAAATCTATTATATTCTTCTTTTGAATTAGGATATAGACATACTGATAACCCTTCACACACAAAAAATTCATTTTAGCACGTCCAAATAACAACTTTTCAAAACACAACATTGTCCAGTTTCCTGGTTTTCAAAAGATAACTTTCACTAAAGTTTTTAGGTGGTTTCACGCGCAAAAAAGTTAAAAATTTGCGCGTGAACTTTCACGCGCAAATTTTAAACTTTTTTGCGCGTGAACTTTCACGCGCAAATTTTAAACTTTTTTGCACGTGAACTTTCACGCGCAAATTTTAAACTTTTTTTGCACGTGAACTTTCGCGCGCAAATTTTAAACTTTTTTGCACGTGAACTTTCACGCGCAAATTTTAAACTTTTTGCGCGTGAAACACTTCAGACAGGACTTAAAGCTTCTCTATTCCCAGGGGACCAACATTTTAAACAAAAAATTCAGGAATAAGATGGAAAATCACATCATGGGGTCACATTTTTTTTTACTAAGAATATTGCACTACACATTTTCTGGCACATTTTAAGAACTTTATTTTTTCACGCGCAGATTTTTCTCACGCAAGTTTTTCACGCGCAAATTTTTCACGCGCACAAAACCCCAACCCAGTTCACCTCGTGTCGTGGTTGATGTGCCTGTGAGTCTGGACGTTTTGGTTCAGAGTTCAGACCTATGTGGAATCGTCCTCTGTTATCTCGATTCGTCTGGAGCGAAGTATGAACTGTTTATCGTTGTCTGGAAGGAAGGGGCATTGACTGAGAAAGTGGTCTGTCACAGATCTGCCGGACTGAGCACACAGGGGACACTCTCTGTTGCGGCTCGTTGAAGTTGAACGCTGGGGGTTGGACGGGCGGTATGACGAGGGGTGTTTACGGTGGCGGATGCGAAGTGTTCGGATGTCTTCCGTGTTGCGGAGCTCATCTAGCAACGTGGTGAGAGCCAGGGATATTTCAGGTTTGATGGAAGCCAAGGTTTGATGGCGTAGTTCAGCTCCGTAGCGTTGTTTAACCAGAGAGGGTAGGTCGGGGTGAAGCATACGTAGCCATAACAGCACGACCATGTTTTCAAGGGACGGTGTAACCTCTTCGTTGGTAGTAACTGCTTCTCCATGGTGAGTAATGTCCCCCACTGTAGTTAATAAGTTGTCTTCCACAGCGGCCGTCAGACGTTGGTACAAATCTTCTGGGCACTCGTTCGGCTCTTGCTTGATGTTGGCAATTTCAAGGAAAAATCCCCCGGTAGCCTGGAAACCAAAATGGAGGCGAATTGCCTGCCAGATATCAGGCAAAGATGTACTGGCCTTGACAACGCGGTTTCTTGTGATTACGGGGCAGAAGTTCGCTACTTGTCCCAGCATCAATTCCAAGCTCGCCGCCTTCTGCGCCGCCGTTCTGCGTTGTGCCGCTGGGACGTCCTCCCCATCGTTGGTGAAGCCTCGATGTTCCACTCCTGGTGTCCGTTTCATCCATGTAACGCCATCAGCGAGAAACGGGGCGAAACTTTGGTCCAGGGATAAGACGTAGATGAGGTTGCTTTTCCAGTTCTCGAACGAGTTGATGGTTTCAGTACGTGTCAAACACCACTGTTTGGGCGCGCGGGCGGTAGCCATTTTGGATGGGAGCGTTCAGTTCTAGTTGGTGAGCCGATCTCTGGGGCTTGGACTAAGTAGGTGGAATACACGCGGCTGTTCGTCGACATAAATCGTGAGGGGGAACAATCGTTGACTGGTGTGAGTTCTGTAGGTACACGGGCGTGTTGTCGGGGAAGTCCGGGACGAGCGGGATCGGGGAGCGCTCTGGGTGCGGGGCGAGGATGAGGGAAATTTGAAGAAAAATGGCGGCCGTTTCACCGCCAGCACATGTGCGTCGAAGTTCGAGATGCACAATTCCGACCTGGGTGCAGGATAGAGGACCGATTCCTTCCCACGGTTCAGGAACACTTTGGAGAATTCTGGATTCTGCTTTCCTGGTTGTGGGCGTACAGGGTTCGATAGATCTTCCTACGGTTAAGGTCTGGAGGAATTCCGCCAACTCGCTCACGCTGGTGATTGTAGTGCGTTCGAAACAGTGCTGAGTGCCATCCTGTCCTTCTGCGCTGCGTCTCGGTCAGATTACGGCTGGAGACTTGGGTTGACGTTTCCCACGAGCTGCCACCACGTCACTAAGTGACCAAAGACCAACTACGAAGGATCGAGGACGCGAGATGCACTTGGATGCGATCAGCATTAAATCCCAACATGGTTGCACACATGGAGTCAGATCTTAACCCTACCTAGACCGGGGGGGGGCTAAAAGTGCCCGCGGCAACTTTGATGTCACCTAGCGTCTGAACGGCTAGCCGTAGAACGGCCAAACTTGGGGACTTTTCCTAGAATATTGTTGGCAACAATTCTCTATCATTGGAAAAAGATAATAATTTTTTGTGTTGCCATGGCAACGGGTTTCTGACAGGCATTTTTTGCTAAATTTAGTACTTTTTGTTTCAACAATAGAATTTTATGGGTTTTATGTCAAGTTACTCATGGTTTCTAATATTAATAACATCCCATATAATTTTATTTAAATTTTATCATTAAATATGCATAATTTATGCTAATTTGATGACGTCATTGGCCAAATTCCAAGATGGCATAAGGGGGGGGGGGAACCTAAGATGGATAAAGAACTGGCTACTCGACAGACAGCAACAGGTACAAGTAGATGGTGAGGTATCAAAACCCATTAAGGTGAAGTCCGGGGTCCCCCAAGGAACCGTACTAGGTCCCCTACTATTTTTATTATATATCAACGACATTGATTCAAGCATAGCTTCCCAACTGCGTCTGTTCGCGGATGATTGTTTGATATACCGCCCAATTGACACACCGCATGACCAGCATACACTTCAAAACGACCTGAACAAATTATGTGAATGGTCTGACATCTGGCAGTTAAGTTTTGTGAAAAAATGTTGCATCTTGCATATCCATAAATCTCGCAAGTCACCCAATTATATGTACTCAATGTTTGCAGAACCGTTAGAGGCTACGGAGCAGCACCCGTACCTGGGGGTAATTCTGTCACATGATCTCAAGTGGTCACATCACATCGCATCTATCACTTCAAAGGCTAACAGTACACTGGGTTTCCTGAAGCGTAACATTAGGGGGGCATCGAAAGAGGTAAGAAGCAAGGCTTATACATCCCTAGTTAGACCCAGGCTGGAGTATGCAGCTCCAGTCTGGGACCCACTCAAACGCCAACACTCACAAACAAACTCACTACAGATCAAACTTGAAGCCATTCAGAGGCGCGCAGCCAGATGGGTACACAATGACTACAGACACACCACCAGTGCCACACAACTTGTTCACAATCTGGGCTGGCCAACACTACAAGTCCGAAGGCAACACTCACGATTAGTACTATTCTTTAAAGCCTTCCACAACCTAGTCGCCATACCCCTACACAACCTTACCACTAGGAATACCAATAGCACTAGGGGGCACCCACTACGGCTACAAACAGTATACTGCAAAACAGATATATACCGCAGCAGTTACATTCCACGCACTATATCTGATTGGAATCAACTACCTACTGAAATAGCTACATGTACATCACTCACGAACTTCAAACTGGGGTTGGCCCGATATATGGGCCACCCCATACATGAGTAAATAGACATCATGTAAGACGGCCAGCACTTTTTCTTTATCTTTTTTTTTTCACCTTGTACAGAACTTTTTCACTTTATTTGTTATGAGCACTACCACCACCGGCCGTTCTTAGCCGTGCACCAAGACCTACCCCTGGTCGGCTATACCCGCGAGGGTTTTGTACCAGTATCATTAAGATAAGAAGATAAGAAGATGGCGGACCATATCATTAGAACAGGTATATACAGGTTATTTTCATTAAAATTTCTTCAATACTTCCATTTCTTTTTCCAAAAAAGGTTTAAATGAAGGTCTTTAGTATGTTTACAATGTATTTTAGGCTTTATCATGAAAAATCTATTTTTGAAAATTCAAGATTGATGATCCAAGATGGCGGAAATCTTAAATATGCATGACGTCATTTTATGACGTCACCGATGTTGCTATGGACAACATAAGACTTAGTACACCATAATATTCTGTCATAAACACTTTTGGTACAGTAATGTTGAATACCATTTAGTTTTCAGGGAAAAACCTATTTAGACGGTTTTGGCCAATAAAATCACATTAATGACGTCATAATGACGTCATATTACGTCATAACGACATAAAAATTGTCGATATGATAAATTTTCACTAGTACACCATTCTCTGAAAATTTGGTGGTCATACGACATACCGTTCGCGAGTTCTTAGGGGGGGGGGTCAAAAGAGCCCCCCCCCCC